TTTCTCACCCACTACACAAAATCCACTGCATTCCTTTCTCGCCTTACAAACCAAATTTAAACTTCGTTCAATCTTGTTTACAAGGTTATTTTAACCACTTCCATGAAATCAAAGGAATTAGCTAAATGCTGAGATTTTTTTTTATAACATTTCAAAATTGTCATTTCCTTGATATAATATAGTTCAGTGAGGAGAGATATATATATATAAATGAATCATTTATTTAGGCTAAGAGTGGAAGAGGTAAGAGTGTTATTTTTTGAGCCAAGTCACAAATATTTGATTAAATTTCATAAGAGATCTTGTATCATCTTCCATATAAAATCAGTTTACTCTTGACGTGTGCGTACGTGTCTTATAATCTTCATGGTTATGGATGTGTAGAATTGGAATTTGGAAATGGAGCAGTAGAACGTGGAATATTTGTAACAAGTGACGTTCACGGATGACCCGTTCACCAACAAAACGATGGCATTGGTGGGAATAAAGCGTGGAAAATTGGATTGAGTGAGACAATGAGACGCCTGCTGATGCGTCTGTTTTCCAAAGAATTGATAGCCGCCTTCATTTTATGTCAAATGCTTTCATCTTCTTTCCCTCTTCTACCATTAAAGTACAATGAATTTGGCTAACAACAATAATGTGCATTGAATTTATGACTCTTCTGATCCAAAACATCAAACTGTTACTCTTGCAGATTTGGACTATGGGTTCACTTTTGGCCTTAAGTGTGCTGTGAACAAGAGATCGAACTTTTTGACCAGCATGACAAGGGATTGAATGATCATGTGTAATTATGTTTTCAGAATCGTCTGTTCCCTCCCATTTATAAATTGTTTTTAACACGTTTTATTAGAATTAAAAAAATTAAAATTTGTTAACCTTGTCAGACAATTTAATAAATTTTTAATTTTACTCTTATTAAATCTATATATTTTAATAATATATTTTTTTTGGGGTTAAAAAAAATTTATAATAAAAATTTAATGACATGATTTATAAATATAATAAAAAAAACTTTTTATTTTATAAATAAAATTGGAGGGGGTATATGATTTAAATGATTATGTTAAAATTATTGCACCACAGAATCACCACCAATTGTTCTTTTTCATGTTAACAAATCTTTCCATTTTATATTTACTATTAATTAAGTCATAATTTCATACAAACAAAATTTTTAAATAATTTTCAAGTTTATTGTTTCTAATAAATATTTTTATATTATAATGGTTGGGTTCAAAATCAATCAGGCATTTGCTTTTGACCAGTAAAATGTATGAGCAAACGATCTTGCTTTTCCATCTATTCGCCAAGGTTTATACTTCATAATTAAAGCGTGAAAATTATTAACTTTGAACTCGTATGAATGTGATTATAGATAGAGAGACATAAAAAAATCAGTAATCTGAAAATCACGTCTTGACGACAATTTAATTATTGAGCCGTGAACTAATGTCTTATCTGTAACTAGTTTAATGAACAATTCAACTTTTTTTAACATGATAAAAATAAAAAATCGGGAAAGAAAGTACTTAATATTTTGGATACCATTTATTTTTATCATGATTTTGTTAATTGGGAGAGTCTCTAATAATTTTTTCTCAAAAGAAGTTTTTAATTAAGTCTATATATTTTGTTGCTAATTCTTATCTTTAACTTTTGAAGTTTCCCAATTTTAGGTTGCTGTAGTATTTTGTATTTAAGGAGATGGATTGGTCTGAGAGTTTTGACAAGTTGAAGTTGCAGTCTCTTTCCCCTCTGTCAGCTATCACTCTGTTTCCTGTGTTCAACTGTTATCTGCTTTGAACTTCAAAGAGGAAGCAGATATTTGCAAATATAGGTAATCTCCTAGTTGCCTTCTCTTTATCTAGTACTTGTCATGTTATCTCTCATCTCTGAGCAGAGTTAACCTATTCATGGCTCTAACCAATTATTCTTATGCTTGTCAAATCGTATTCTTTTTCATTGGAAGAAGAAAACGCCAGAGTATCTGATTTTTACGCATAACAATTTTCTAGTCTCTTTTGTCTCGAATTGATGTTCTGAATCCGGTCGCGTTTATTTTTATATCTTGATCTTGATATTATTACATCACATAGCAACTATTGTTATGATCTTTGACTTAGAGCTTGACGCTGATCGCTTGCAAGTACCCCTTCCAGAATGAAAGAGTGAATTTTCAAAGTTTGTTTCAATGCTTGGATTTCAAATCAATTTTCTGGCTAAAACAAGTACAACAAGAAGTTCCCCCCCCCCCCCCATATCATTTCTTATGGTTGTTCTTATCTTAATGCATACAAAAGGGAAAAGGCTGCTTTGAACTTTGAATCATGCTCCTTCGGATTCAAGCGGCATCATAGTTCGAGTTTCGACAGGAATGACCGGTTTTTGAACACAGTACTGTAAAAATAAATAAATTAAGCCGTGCTTGTTGTCAAAACTCAAAAGGCATTAAAGGAAAAAAGCTGCGCTGAGATCAAATCATAGTCTCTAACACGTGTTGCAGGTTGGACTCGAAACCAAATAAAATGATGAAGATTTGTGGAATCGGAGCAGGGTACGTTGGGGGTCCTACAATGGCTGTAATTGCTCTCAAATGTCCTTCAATCGAAGTAACCGTAGTTGATATCTCGCACTCTCGCATATCAGATTGGAACAGCGATCACCTTCCCATTTACGAGCCTGGTCTCCAAGAAGTGGTTCAACAATGCAGGGGCAAGAACTTGTCCTTCAGCACCAATGTTGAAAAACACATCTCAGAGGCTGACATAATCTTCGTTTCAGTCAACACACCTACAAAATCCCGAGGCCTCGGAGCCGGGAAAGCCGCTGATTTGACTTATTGGGAAAGTGCAGCGAGGGTGATTGCTGAAGTGTCTAAGTCAAATAAGATTGTTATTGAGAAATCCACTGTTCCTGTCAGAACGGCCGAAGCAATTGAGAGAATTTTAACCCATAATAGCAATGGTATTTCCTTTCAGATTCTCTCAAACCCAGAATTTCTCTCTGAGGGAACCGCCATTGAAGACCTTCTGCATCCTGATAGGGTTCTTATTGGAGGGAGACAAACCCCTGAAGGGCAAATGGCGATTCAGACACTGAAGGGTGTTTATGCTCATTGGGTTCCTGAAGATAAAATCATAACGACAAATTTGTGGTCATCCGAGTTATCTAAGTTAGCTGATAATGCGTTTCTGGCGCAGAGGATTTCATCCATAAATGCAATGTCTGCTCTGTGTGAGGCAACTGGAGCAGAAGTCTCTGAGGTGTCACGTGCTTTGAGTAAGAACACTAAAATAGGGTCCAAGTTTTTGAATGCTAGTGTTGGTTTTGGTGGGTCTTGCTTTCAGAAAGACATACTCAACTTGGTGTATATTGCTGATACCAATGGCTTAGCAGAAGTGGCGAACTATTGGAAGCAAGTTATTCAAATGAATGATTACCAAAAGGATCGGTTTGTGAAAAGGGTTGTCTCCTCCATGTTCAACACAGTCTCAGGTAAGAAAATTGCAGTGCTGGGTTTTGCATTCAAGAAGGACACTAGCGACACGAGGAAAACTCCTGCCATTGATGTTTGCAAAGGTCTTATGGGAGATGATGCATGCTTGAGCATTTATGATCCAAGGGTAAGTGAAGACCAGATTCTGAGAGATTTGGCGATGGACAGTGTTGAGTGGGACCATCCAATTCACCTCCAGCCAGTGACAAGTCGCAGTACTATGAAACAGGTTAGGATTGTGAAGGATGCTTACGAGGCAACGAAGGATGCTCATGGGATCTGCGTTCTTACAGAGTGGGACGAATTTAAGAGCCTTGATTATCAGAGAATATTTGATAATATGCAGAAACCTGCATTTGTTTTCGACGGTAGGAGCATATTGAATACTGGAAAGCTGAGAGAGATGGGTTTTATTGTGTACTCAATTGGGAAGCCATTAGACCCCTGGCTCAGGCCATGAACAGTGGATTCTGTGAAGGACAGATTCTGAGTATAAGTTGATGAGTGAAGATGAAGATCTGATATTTTGTGATGAGATTTCATCCTTATGGCATCTATATGTTGGGATTTATAGAATAAAGTTATTTCAGATTTTTTAAAATATATGTACTGTTTAGAATTGATGTATTATAGAGCTTTGTTATCTGAAATCACCAAGTCTTCACTCACCAACTAACTTGAGTTGAATCTGGGAGGTGGTCAGGAAAAATAACTTTATTTTTAATTGACCTTGTTCGACAGTAGTACAAGGAAACCTCGCAGTTGTCAGTTATTAATCAATCTACTATTACAAAGGTTTTCTCCTCCTCCTCCTCCTCTTTTGAACTCACTGCTACGGTACTACATGGATTTTCTATGAAAGGTGATTATGGAAAAGCTGCAAAAGAACATTCTCTTAATTTCTTAATACTTTAAAAAATAGCTTTCTTTCTTCTTCTTTTTTCATCAAAATAGCTTTCTTTCTGAATCTGATGTTTGTACTGAACGAGTCAATTTTTTATTCTCATCTATCCGCAACTCGATTCGCCACAGATCCACTTGCATATAACAGAAGCCCTCAAGCTGCTGAAAAAGATGAAGGGCATATTCCCCCTTTTGTTTTGTTTGACCTGAACTTTCTTGGTTAATCAGAAGAAAAGTGACCTAACTCCATGGAATCGATTTATAATTTCACATACACATGATTACAAAATTCTGGTTAATTTGGTTGAAAATTTACTCTTTTTTGGTCGATAAATTTACTCTTTATTGTTGATACATATCATTTTTAAATGTTGAATTATGTATTAACAAAAATAGAGTAATTATTTTATTATGTTACTACTTTTAAAAAAAATTAAAAATATTAAATTTATAGTCAAAGAATTATCGGCGAAACCTAATATTCATGACGTGTAATTTAATTTAACGGAATTTATTTATATCTTTATCCAGCGTGCGTCCCCATGTCATCTCAACATCGTAATTTGCGTGTTTACAGCCTATAAAACCAAAAGAAAACGCGGTTTTTGGACCCCTCTCTGCAACGAAGACACCTCCTCCACCATATCACTGGCCATTTGACTCTGTACAACGTTAATCCATTCTTCTTGGGATTTCAGAATCTAATCACTGCGACGAAAGTTACTTCATCTTTTACATTTTTCATATTTTTTTGTTTTTCGTCCCAAGAATGGGATGCTGCTGCAGCAAAAACGCTGATACAAAGGCTACTAGAGTTTCGCGGTGGCGATCCACGGGTATTGTTGCTTTGCGTGACTCCAAATTGAAGGTAATTGTTTTATATTGTATCTATCTTTCAATTCCATATAAATTTTCTGTACTTGTGCTAGTGCTTCTGTGTCTGTTCTCTTTTCTCGGTTTTTTCGAGTCGGACTATTGGATATTGCCACTATCTCGTTGTACTGAATAGAACTAGTTGCTTATGTAATTTGATGTATCATGGGGGATTTTCATTTTGTTTATCGATCTCTGTGCTAGGCTAGTCGCCTCTGTTATGCTGCTTCCGAACTGAATTCGATTTTAGAGAGAGAGAGAGAGAGAGAGAGGGTAAATAAAAGAGAATAGGCATAATGAATTGTTCTCTAATATCAACTTAATGATTGTAAGATGCCATTTAAAAGGAATGTGATTGAGATAACTGATGCCGGTTGAGGCAGCTCCTTCGCGCTTAGTTTCCTGTTGCTTGCTTGCCTCTTATCACATTGAAATTTCACGCTGAGTTAGAAATTTGTACATTTTTTGGACACCTGCCTTTAGATCATGTATCTTTATTGTTTCAAATGTGTCACTCTGTAATTAATTTTCGGGATTGTATTTCGTCAAGCCAATTTAACTTCATGATGATATGTCATGAATTGTGATATTGATGGACCTACTAAAAATTGGATGAGATCTTATGGTTTTTTTTGAAATTTATGTTTGTCACCTTTCTTCTCAGTGTTGCTGTTGCTTTTGAATGCATGCACACACTTGAGCTTTTTGCTGCATGCTTACCATGGTGCCTTCTTCTTTCCTCATTCTAAAACAGACATTTCCAGATGAAATTCTTGACCTAGACAGATCTGTACGGACTCTTGACTTAACACATAATCGAATAGGTATGCTCTTTTTTTTTTTCCCCCTTTCCTTTCCTTCTTTCTTAATATAAAGCAGGGATAAGTCCCTGTGCTATTAGATAACAAGACTCTATTCTAAAGTTGATTTTTCAAATTTGTCATCAAAGAAAAGTGTCTTTTCTTTAAGGGTTATATGTGTTGTAGTTTTTTAACTACTTCTCAATTCATTTCTTGACTGCAGTTGATGTTCCCATGGAAATTAGCAAATTAGTTAACTTGCAGCGCCTGGTAAGAGTTATATATCCCAGTATATGCCTATAACCTGGCAACTGCTTGTGAACATATAGAACTTAACTGCACTTTTTTTTTTATATTGCAAATGAAAAAAATTGCTTTTGGAGTTTATCTACTGTTTTTATAATTAGGAAGAAGCAAGATAGATTTCATGCGGATATGCAATATGTCAAGTAGTGTCGTTTATTTTATGCTCTTTAGGTTGTAAGTCCTAATTTCTGTGCTCTCTCAAGCTTTTGCTTGCCTTTGTATCTCAAAAAATAAAATTAGGAGGAAGCAGTAAAGTGAAAAATCGCATTTTCATGAGCCATTTTTCCAGCCAATCAGTGTTGACAGTAGTAATATTCCCTGTTACCTTAAAAGTGTGCATTGGCTTTAATGTTAGTGAAGGATCTTTTTCGTTATAAATTACCAACAAATTATTTGTTACATGACAAATGCCATGTGCTCCATTTGTAATTTAATGTACCATCTGATGTTTTATACCATGTTATGATTGGAAGCAGCTCACTTAATTTTGTCATGCCACAAACTGATGCTCTAAGTCCTGAAACTTTTGAATATAAATTATCATACAGCTCTATGATTAATATATAAGAGTAAAGAGTTGAGTAGTGACTGTTTACCACTTACAACCTACAAGGAACTAGAATCTTACTTCCAAGGGGCACTTTCTCATCTAAGTTCCTATTGCTTCTAATTTTGTTGCACATTTCAGCTTATTTGACAAATATTTGGTTTTAAATTCTATTTGACAGCAATCCTTTCAGTGACCCTTAAAGACAGTTAAACACAGGGACTTGAATTTTGGCTTTATTTCCACTTTCAATCCAGTCTTGTTATTCTTTCTTCAGAAGCTTTGCTGTGACTTAGTATTTTGATTCATTGATTCTGGAATCTGGTTGAACCATTAAATTTTAAATTTAATATTCATTTATGAAAGTCATATGCTTTTTGCATGTGTTATGTCTATAAATACAATACTGCCTTTTATTTATATCCACTGCTAGATAACATGCCATGGAAGAGTTTTAATCTACTGTTTTGGTGGCTTTACACTCTTTACAGAACTGAGCTTATATAACGTTAGGATTGTTAAAGAACATTACCCATCAAAGTTGCGCTCACTTTACAGATATTACCAGAAAATCTCATCGAGAGAGTGCCAGTGAATTTGGGGAAGCTTCAATCTCTAAAATCCTTGATCCTTGATGGAAATCGAATTACTTCCTTGCCTGATGAATGTAATTCCTCTGAAATAAATCAGTTTTTGAAGAATGAAAATGATTATCTTTTTTTTTTTTTTTGGTACACAACATTGGCATTTGCTTAATGGAATGTCTCTTTGCTGTTTTTCCCCCTCCTTAGTGGGTCAGTTGGTAAGACTTGAGCGCTTATCCATATCTGGGAATTCCTTAACAGCCTTGCCTGCTACTATTGGCAGCTTGCGAAATGTAAGTATTTATGAGTCTGAATATTCTGTGATAATTCTACTGCTTCTGTTATTTTAAATTTATAGAATTTATCTTTAGAGATGTTCATCATCATACTTAATTGTAAAATTTGATGGGTTGGGGATTTTTTTTCTGTTGGGGTAAATAACTTCTCTTGAAAGTTTGTTCACTTTGGTAACTGTTGATAGGAGTTTAATGCATAACCAGATTATGATTAACATTTAGAATATGGTACACTGTTTGATAATGCAGCTGTTGCTTTTAAATGTGTCGAGCAACAACTTAGATTCTCTTCCAGAATCTGTGGGGAGCTGCTTCTCTTTGGAAGAATTACAAGCCAATAGTATGCTTCTGTTCTACTAGCTTTCTTCATGCATTGTGAGCATTGTAATGCAGTTTTTGTGTGCTTGGGTTCTGGAGAGGGTTGATCCCTTTTCAGACATGCGGAGAATGGAGAGATTTATTCCATTGAAGTACTCTTAATTTTTTTGGGTTATTTTGCCATGGTATCCTCCTTTTTTCCGTCATCTTTCTTTCTCTTAGTGATGCTTTCTATATGATAGAAATGCATTTATGTTCTTCAACTGGAAAGCTTAGAACTGGTTTGTAATAAAAAATGGAAATCTCTTTGTAAAAAGCCAGGTCAGAGGCAACAGACTAATTTTGAATAGGAGAAATATTTTGGATAAATTACAACTTAGGTATACTTGGCAAAAGGATCTGTCTTCAGTTTAGGAGCAATTAACTCATTAACCACTCTTTGGGCACCAAAATTGATAATGTCATAAGTTCTAATTCTTCCTACCTCTTTGTGAACCTTTTTTGCCCCAACAGTTTCATATAACAATAATGATTGTAAACATTACTATAACGCTGCAATCTTTCTTAAAGATTTCATGGATTTTATTATTATTCTGTGTCCAATATTCTGTCTTTTTTTTTTTTAACTTATTCAATTCATATGCATGTCTGTAGGATTAATTCTCGTGTCATTAACTGTTTTCATGAGAGGCAAATCTGGATCTCTGGAACAATTTATGTTTTTTTGCTGTTTAATTTTGCATCATGGTTGATTGAAGCTTCAATCTTTTTGTCAACTTTTTAGATAATAATATTGAAGATCTTCCCTCTTCTGTGTGCAATCTCACTCATTTGAAGTCACTTTGCCTAGATAGCAATAATGTAAAGCAGGTAATGCGTCTGACTCAGAATACTTGAAGCCTTACGATGTTTGTTAATTGCCTAGTAATTTGTCTGGTTGAGAAGTTAATTTCCATCACCGAGGATAAGCTGAATAACCTGGATGTTTATTTGCTTTTTAATACTTTTTTGTCAGTCTGTTTATTTCTCCGAGCATATTAAACGTTGGACAAAATGCCCTTAGTTATCAATAGCACAGGATGATGGACCTGGAACTGAGTAACATGAAGTTCTAATTTGAAACACTTGCACAGGCAACTTACTATAAGCATTGCCGGGTTTGCATTAGACAGAACTACTGATGCTTTTCTTAATTTGGAATGGTGGCATTCATTTTGATTGACATAACCACTGCTTGAGGAATGAGGATTCTAGTTGATGAGATTTGACACTGCACAATCTCTTTAGGAATTGATGGTTGCTTTATCTCTTAGGCAACTAAACTTTATTGGAGTACAGTCTCGATTTGCATTGTCTCATGCTGCTTCTTCATCTTCCTCTTTTCCTTACTTTCATGAATCCATAAATGGTGTGTCAATGTATGGTTTTGCTTCTAGCAATTCCCACCCATGCAGTTGTTACAAACCTAAAAGCCACGTCCTTTGATTTTAAATGTACTTATGCTTTTTGGGTCTCGTTGGCTAGATACCTGCAAATCTATTGAAAGACTGCAAAGCTCTTCAAAATATATCTCTGCACGGCAATCCTATATCTATGGATCAATTTCAACAGGTAAGGCATTATTTCCTGAATTTTTTTGTCTCTCCCCTCTCTTACAAATCAACAACTTTGCTCACGTTTCAATGCAAACTACCGATGAACAATCTAGATGGACGGGTTTCAAGAGTTTGAGGCGAGGAGGAGGAGGAAGTTTGACAAGCAGATTGATTCAAATGTGATGATTGGTTCCAAAGGCCTTGATGAGGGTGTGGATCTATAGCCACTTGGTAAGGTGATTTTGCAGCTTCAGCTTCATCTCTGGATGAGCTTTTGATATGTGGGATAGAACGCAAAGCATTTTGTCTACTATGCCTTTTATTTCACATTTAAAAAAATGGGGTTCCTTTGCCTACAACTGCAAATTTGATTGGGTTGGATCCATTTGTCAACACTGATAAGGTCATGAAGTCCTTTTCATGGCATTCTATTTTGGCAGCTGTAAATTAAGACGAGGTTTGATGTTAATATAGAATACAAAGCAAATAATTGATTCCACAACATGAATTAGAATGTGTTCCTTGGTGTAATTCTCCTTTCCCATATCTTGTTTGCGTGCTGATGCTGGTATCCGTTTTGATGAAGGTATGGAATAATGGTACTCGTTATTACCTTGCAAAATTTCTTGAATAAATCCAAACAATACAATAGGTTAATGGGATCGCAAAATCTCATCTATCAATGTACATGTATGATTTTGTTTTTGACAACATGTATAATTTATCAGTCATAATTTGCCTTAACACAAGTTGTTTGGCAATGATAAAATAATTGGTAAATAGATGCCATATAATTTCAAGAACATGCTTTAAAAATAAAACCGTACGTTGTTGACCTCCTCATTTCTGAAAAGCCAGAATTTTTTTTTTTTTTTAACCTGGGAAAAAGCCAGAATGAATGTAACGCAAGTCCATATACACACACATATTTCTTCATTTGCTTACCCTGTCGGTGATTAAGTCATTTTTAAATTGTTTTAAGTCTGTATTCTGCCTGTGGCTCAGTTTATATGTAGCTTCCTCCAATCCAAAGACATTTGACAAAACAATCTTGAGCCACCTTCCCTCCTTTGCCGCGAGATTGATTTATATTGGCAAGTATCCACTTGTACGTACGTCAATATGCATTGGAAACTGGGAGGTTGAGCATTAGTTAATCTCAAGAGAAATGAAAAAGTCTTGCTCCTATCATAATATAAATCATCTTTTAAAAGAGTTACTTATTTAAAATATAAAATACTAGATAGGCGTTATATATATATATATATATATACACCTTTCAATTACACCTATGTTTTATTGAATAATTAATGAAAGTATTTTGAATAAGTCAAATACTATATTATTACTCTCAAGGATTCGATTGAAAAGATGAAAATTTTTTTAGAAAAATTAATATCTTAATCAATTTTTTTAAAACATAAATCAGTACCTTAGATAGAGTAATTATAATAAAAAAAGGTACATTCTTTAAATTATTTATAAATTTTGCGTTTTGAAATTTTGAATTAAAACCGACTTTTTTTAAAAAAAAAAATCGAAACCGAATGTCTACATCCACTAATAGTGTTTTCGCTCTACATTTAACTGACGTAGGCTATTACTTGATGATAAAAGAATTTGAAAAGAATTTCAAATTGATATTATTAAGAGTTGTTAGATATTTTTAAAAATATCTGTTATTCATACCCTTAAAAAATGAAGAGGATGAAATCTACTAAATATATTTTCATCCTTTCAAATAAATTAAAACATAAATATAAATAATGTATAATTTTTATTTTTTTGTTAAATATTTTTAACTTAAATATTAGTTTCTGTTATGAATGAATTTAATTCATAATTTTATATGTTATTTAAAAATATTATATTAATTTAACTGGTAAGGTTCAATTGCAATCTAATTATTAACCTTGAATTAATAGAAGCAGAGGATAAGTACCATTAGTGAATGTAAACATTCAAGATCTCTTTTTATCTTATATATAATTACTCACTCGTGAAATTACGGTAAATTAATCGAACTCATAAATTTGCTAATTGATTTACCTTTGAAATAAGTCAAGTTTCATTTTTACCACTAAAAAACATTATCATTAAGTACTTTCATATTATGTTGTGATGTGGCAAGAGAAAATTTTCACAATAACTAGTCAAATGCTGCATAAAAACAATGAAAAGTTACTTATACCCTTTTTAAGGACCATAATCTTTTTTCTAAACTCAAAGATTACAAAATGCCTTAATCGATCTCTCATTTATTATGCTCTCCCAAGCCTAAAGTAACTGTCCTTGGATAGGACATATTGTACGTATAGTATAATTTTTTTCATTTCAAATCAGTTATTAGATAATAGAATGCCTTGGTTTTGATGAGCTTTCGGAACTTAACTCACATAAACTTTCATACACCAAAGAGAAAAAATTGTTAGATGATGAGAGATTAGCTAAGTAAATCCATGTCAGTATTTGAGAACAAAATTCAGAAACATTACTATTCTTCCAATCCTATAATCTATAATCATAAGTTAGCGACAATTTGTGTCGTGACTGGCTGCTTAGGGGAAGGCGAAATTAAATAGAGATAGGATCAAAATATAAGGAAAGGGAAAAACGAAACCTGTGATGATTATGGTAATGTGGCTTTCTAATTAAATACGAAATCACACACCAACAAAAATTTAATCTAGTGAAATGGATTTTATGTTCATAATGTGATAAATTAACGTTTGAATACCCATTGAAAGATGTGTCAATATTTAGTATCTAACTGTGCATCAAATAAAATTATTTTCAATAAAAAGGTATATGTGGATAAAAAAAATTTCAAATTACACATTCATTAGCATATATAGAGGACAAGTATATACGAGGGTGGCCCCACATTAATTATGGTTAGTAAACGTTATTTTATTTGGTTAATGAAATTTGCCCTTTTCTTACATGAAAATAAAATCATTCATTTTGAGTATCCCTAAAGCATTTCTGGTCACACCTTCCTCCATAACACATGCACCATTATTGCTTCCCTCAAGCAACACATGCGCTTCTTTTTATACATACACACACATTTTCTCTTTTAATATATACATATTATTATTTTCTTTTCACTTTCTTTTTCAACTTATAATCTGGACAGTTGAACAATCAAATATAATAATCATTTACGCGCTAATACTAAATATAAATATACCTTCAAGAGAATATAACTCAAGTGTATCCGAACGTAGATAGAAATAACTTTTTTTTTTCGCTCTTTTCCATTTGAACTTTTCTTTTTCATGTGTGTATACACAGAATAAAATCATTTCTTATGATTGCAAAAGATCTGAATTAGTTATATGATCGACAAGAAGATTATGATTATTACAAGAGTACTACTGTTAGCTTGAGATTTGATTAAAGGCAATCATGCTTGCATTTGTTACTATCTAATCAGCCACCAAAGTAAAAGGAAGTGCCACTTTTAATTAAATCATTTTAAATAGTAAAACTTCAATATATATCGCTGATATGTCAGCCACATCTACACTGACTAATCAACAAAATTGAAACCCTGGCTAATTAATTATACATTTTTTGCATCCACCAAACTTTTTCCGTGTAAATATTTGTTATTATATACTTTAAGGATAAGTTTGTTACAAGCCTAAAATTGATGATACGGTAAATGTTGAATGTCGAAAAGAAATTGAAGTTTCAGAATCAATTGCGTTACTGCAATCATGATCACTTAATTTAACTTCCTTATAAAGAACTTTTTTGTCCTTAATTAAGCTGTTAATGAGAATCATTTTAATTTGCATTAAGTTGTGCAGTGTATGAATTTGGATTCGATGTGTGACTTAAGTACACTCAATTCAGTTTTTTAGGAAAATATATTTTGATAATTTTTAAATATCAATGAAATAAAGGAGTATACTTTTATTATTTTTGAAATCCAAATCTGCAGTACATATTATGAAATTTCTGATATGGATGGAGGCCATTATTTTGTGCTGATAAAAGCGACTTTTGGTTAGTTAAATTAAGAAACCAAACCTAACACAACTGCTAAAATAACATATCACATTGTTCTCATTTATTTAGATACAAGGAAACACATTTTTCATGTACTACACAGAATGTAAAAAATGAATCGCAGTGTTCACTCTCTATGATTAACAACAGTATGATCCGTTATAAATTTTATATTATTATGTTATTATATAGATATATTGATATTGATACAAATTGACACCGACAATGTTTAAGGGAATGAAGATGAGAGAATAATGCCTGAGGAGTGAGGAATTAAAGCAAAGGATCTTCGATGATGATGAAGCAGTGTCGTCACTATTATATTGACTATTCATTCTTTTCTTCGAAACTGTGAAATATGAATGTTTCTCAGTTCCAATATTCTTCCCTTGCTCACCTCGCCCTTTCCTTATGGAGACCCAGAACACTTTTATCTCAAGTCACGTCTTCTAACAAGCTATCATCGACCTTCTGATATAGTAATTTTTTTGTTTGAGAGAGACATAGACTTTTCTGCTGAATTTGAGTTATGAATATAAATTTTGTTATACCCACTAATTAATTAGTATAGATTTGGTATAGATTTTATATTTTACGGTGATAATATTTTATTTTAGATTTTATATTTCACAGTGACAATTATTAACGACAAAAAGTAGGTATATTTACACTAGTTAATGCAAGTTCACATTTATAGTATCTTTGGATTAATGAGGATTTATATTTGAATTAAATCCCTCATCTGTATATACAAAAGTTTATGAATCTGCATTTGGTTCATATTCAGATTTATTCTATATATTTTCAATTTCAAATTCTAATCATTTTAAATATTTTATTCTTCTCATGTTTTTACTATTGATATTTTTGTGATTCTCCTGTCTCTTCTCATCTCGATTAAAACTAAAGATAAACTTATTATTTTTAATCTTTCATTTTCATTTCAAAACTCAGTTTATGTCTCTTATTCATTTGAAATTTTTTAAACTATACAAGTAAAAAATTTTAAATACATAGATTTTAAATATGAAAATTGAAATGTAAAATTTTAAATCTAAAATTCAAATTCAAATACATAAATCTAAACACTACCTTGAGGTATTTTCACTCACTATGGGCAATTGTGTGATTTCAACCAGAACATAATTGCACTTGAGACTTTCGAGCTTGGAGAAAAAATATCAAAACCTATTTGACCCGCAGAGTAATTTTGTTCTTTATATGGGTCTTATATGTGATTTGCCATAAAAAAAAAAAAGACCTAATACATGTTTCACATTTGGGATCAAAACCGCTTTTTCTTTGTTCATAAAAGTCAAGGATAGTTCTTTTCTTTTTTTTTTTTATGTCTTGTTATGTTTGCGTCACAGCGCAGTACTATAACTAAACAATCAAAGGATTTTACCGTTTTATCTTGTGAAAGTTAGTCATTAGTATTTGGTGTGACTTAACTTCTTTTGTGATATGTGGTCATGAGTTTATGTGTATCTCATCATTCGTGAGGTTAAATG